GAAAACCCCTGTCTCAAAAAACCAAAAAAAAAAAAAAAAGATTCTCAACATTCTACACATTCATACACTGACCAGCACAGACTCATATTATTATTATTATTATTATTATTATTATTATTATTATTATTTTACTATTATTATTTGCACTTGCAAAGTATAAACACTTCTCTGCCACTGTGAATGTCTAGGTTTCTGTTGATTTGTTTTTGTTACTTATACTGTGTTTGGGCATTTTGCTTGCATGTGTGTCTGTGCAACAAGAAGGTGTCAGATATCCTGGAACTAGAGTTATACACAGCTGTGAGCTACCATGTGGGTGTTGGGAATCAAACCCAGGTCCCCTGGAAGAGCAGCCAGTGTTCTTACGGGCTGAGCATCTCTCCAGTCCCTGGATCTCTGTTTAAATGGCTCTATAGGATTCTACTGAATGGAAAGAAATATCTTCCAATTCACTCCCCTCCCCAGCACTAGAGATGAAACCCAGGGCCTTGAGCCAGCCGGGCAGGTGCTCTACCACTAGGCTACATCCTCAGCTCCAATTTGCTTTTCTGTTTGCTTTTTTGTGACAGAGTCACACTAGGTAGCTCCAGCTAGCCTTGAATTCACTATGCATCCCAGGCTGGCCTCACCTTGTGGTGTTTTTGTCTCAGCTACTCAAGTTCTGGGGCTATGGGTATGTGCTAGCCCATTTGGTAAACGCTTTCCTCCTCCCCTGGGAGCACTGGGCATTTCCCAGTCCACCTTTGCGGTATATTTAGGTAGATCCATTCTTTTCATTTGTTTGTTTGTTTTTGAGACAAGGTTCCTCTCTGTAACCCTGGCTGTAGACCAGACTGACCTCAAACTCAAAGATCTACCTGCTTCTGCCTCCCGAGTGCTGGGATTAAAGGTGTGCATCACCATGCCTGGCTCATTCATTCTCTTAAGTATTACCAGAACACAGAAATGGTCGAAAGCACTGATGTCGAACCTGATTTTCTGTTCAGTCCTGGCTCTACACTTACTAGGCAAGTGACACATCTATGAGCCTTCATCCCCTCTCTCCACAATGAAAGAATGTTGTCTTTCTCGGTATTGTGAGGGTCAGATCAAACACCACATGTAAACTATGTGGCACAGCACCTATATCAGGCTGCTCACAGGTACCTGTAACTCCATTTCCAGGGCCTGACATCCTCTGGCCTCTGCAGGCACTCTCACACACATGCAAAAACACTCAAGTGGACTCGCATACATACACCTGAATATAAAATAAATTAATCTTTTTTTGTTGTTTGTTTTTGTTTTTCAAGAGGGTTTATCTGTGTAGCTTTGTAGACCAGGCTGGCTTCGAATTCACAGAGATCTGCCTGACTCTGCCTCCCGAGTACTGGGATTAAAGGCGTGTACCACCAACGACTGGCTAAAATAAATAAATCTTAAAAAACAAACAAACAAAAAACCCAGGAGACAGGAGAGATGGCTAAGACGTTAAGAGCACTGGCTACTCTTCCAGAGGACCTGGGTTCAATTCCCAGCATCCACATAGCAGCTGACAACTGTCTGTACCTCCAGCTCCAGGGGATCTGACACCTTTATAGAGACATACATGTAGGCCAAACACATACAATAAAAATAAAGTATTAAAAAAAAGGGGGGGGGTTGGAGAGATGGCTCAGAGATTAAGAGCACTGACTGCCCTTTCAGAGGTCCTGAGTTCAAGTCCCAGCAACCACATGGTGGCTCACAACCATCCGTTATGAGATCTGGTGCCCTCTTCTGGTGTGCAGATATACATGGAAGCAGAATGATGTATGCATAATAAATAAATAAATAAATAAATAAAAAGCAGGAAGCAAGGGAGGAGAAACAGAAGGAGACATAGTTCAAGCAAGGAAGAAGGAGATGCTGTGGAGTCCACAAGGCCCACTTTAGGGTTCCATGAGACTAAATTTCAAATAATCCCTAACACAACAAAACTGGTATCAGGAATGGGGTGTGCAGCAAAACATTCTCAGAGGACTTTGTGAAGTCTTATTAGAGTGGGGAGTGGCAGTTGATGAGTGTGTTATAACTAGTCTTTTAAGAGTGAGGGTAGCCGGGCATTAGTGGCACATTCCTTTAATCCCAGCACTCGGGAGGCAGAGGCAGGTGGATCTCTTCTGTGAGTTCGAGGCCAGCCTCGCCTACAGAGCGAGTGCCAGGATAGGCTCCAAATCTACACAGAGAAACCCTGTCTGGAAAACAACAACAACAACAAAAAAGTGAGGGTGGGAAAAGCGTTGATCTGTAACTTTTCAAAGCTTTTTTTCTGGCATTTATCCTCTTATTACAGCAATCTTAAGCTACCAAAGTGCACACAGAATGCTAACAACTGACTCTTCGCAGGCCAACAAGCCACTCTATAGGGACATCTCTCCTCCGGAGGGATGCTGCAGATTTCTGCATCATGGTGGCAAAGCCAATGGTTAAGCCATCATCACTAATCTCTGGTCATTAGGCCTGTGCTATTTCAAGTCAGGAATGTTCATGTTCATCCCTGATCAGTGTAAGAACATTTTAAGATGCTCAGATAATATCTGCCCTGAGTTTAAGAGCCAGAAGAGGGAGTGGGGACAAACCTGAGTTGGTAGAGTGCTTGCCTAGCATGCACAAAGCCCTGGATACCATCTCCAGACCATATAAACCAAGTGTCATGCACATACCTGTAATCGTAGCACACTGGAGGCAGAGGCAAGGGGATCAGAAATTCAAGGTCATCCTCAGTCACAAAGAAAGTTCAAGGCCTGTCGGGGCTACAAGAGACTCTGACTTTAAAGAATTAAAAGGCATAACAGAAAATAAAACAGAAGAGTTGGAACTTTCTAGGCTATCTCCCATCCTGACAGAAGGGCAAAATCCAGCCATACCTCACTGGAAAGGATCAAGGCTCCATCTCCATCCCGAAGGACACCATCCTTTCCGACCTGGGAGAGCATGGTGGGTCTGACCTCTTCACTACCACCTGCCTTGACTGCCTTCTTATTCAGGATCCTGGCTACACCCTCAGGTTGATGGTAGCTGGCAGGAGAGAGCGGCTCTGGTTTCTTGGAACTCTCCTCTCCTGCTGCAGTAGTGGGGCTCGGTGCCCGACCACACACATTCCGGAAGAACTCCTGCACGATGCCATACTTGTGAGGCTCGGGCTTGGTTCGGGCCTCAGACATGCCCAATTTCCAGACAGACTCAGTGCTCCCTGAGTGCTCCACCACGCTGAAGAGGCTGGACAGCCCGTCGTTTATGTTCCTCAGCACTGGGCTATCCCGTGTGGTGGTGGAACGGGCCCAGGCTGAGCCATTCTGCTTGCCTTGGTGCAGGTTCCACAGGCTGCGGTCCTTGGTGCTGTCCAGCTTGGACACTGATCGCCTCTGGAGCTTGGGTGAGCCATACTTAGGCGAGCAGCATGGCCGCTCAATTCTCGAATGGACCTTGTCCAGGGAGGAGGAGATCTGCTTGCTGCGTACTGACATAAGCGAGGAGCTGCGGGGTGACCAGCTCTTGCTGTGGAGGCTGCTGCGGGGTGGGTCAGTCTGCAGGCCCACACTGACTGTCCGGATGGTCTGGGTGCCCACACTGGCCAAACCCACTGTCTGGCTGGACGTGCTCTTTACCTTCCTCTCCAGTGAGCCAGAGCGCATGGCCTGCCGCACACAGTTGGTGATCTCCTTCATGTCATCACTCATGTTGCCTGACATTTCAAAGTCATGCAAGGCTGCAGGGAAAGCAGGTCCAGAACCTGAGGTGTTGCCCCCGGATCCTCCATCCAGGCGCTGCCGGGAGAAGTTGCAAAGCCACCGGCTATAGGAACTCTCAGCCAGCCCATCTGCCTCAGCTGACTCCTTGGGCTTGGCCGTGGTAAAGAGGAAGCCTGGTTCAATGAGGATCTTGCCTTCCTTGTCATGGACCACAGGGACACCCAGGCGCCGGGCCACTGGGGGACTGTAGTAGACTCGAATGCCCGTCTTGTCTGGAGCAGTATAGCTGCGCTGCATCTGCCTCCCCGCAGGCTCCTGGCAGGCCAGTGTACCCATGCGGTTGCAGTCCCGGGTGGACAGCCCAGGCTTTTCCTTGGCATCTTTCTCAGGCTCCACTGGCTCAGTACTCACAAAGGCAAAAGCAGGACTGTTGGGCAACTTCTTGTTCCGGCCATCTCCACCAGCAAGGTAAGGGGAACAGTCGAGCAAACTTTCAAACTCAGACATAGAGGAAACCGATTTGGTCCTGGGAAAAGTAGAGGAAGAAAATGGGATTAATGGAAAATAACATAACAAGCATGCTAGTGTACTTACCGGGATATGTATGTGGAGACCAAGCCTGTCTTGCTTATCTCTTGTGGACAATCTTGCTGATACCTCTTCAAACCCTCTCTCCACACCACCTATATTCTCAAGAGGCATGAACACTGCCACCACATTTAACCTCTCGACAATGGAAGCCAGAAACAGCCCCCCTGAAGGCAGCCCTTAGCACACAATGGATGGGATCTAGAGTGAGAGTACCTGGCCTCCTCACACTTTAGCTGGGGTAGCTCTGGTTGATGGGTTTGGTCTCTGCTGGGCCCCAGGTTTCTCAGTACTCTCAAGCTCCAGCTGCCCACTGACTAATCTGGCAGTACCCCAGATGCTCCATCAATCATTTGAAATTTCCTTGACCCTGTGCCTTCATTTCCTGTCTTACATCCAGGTAAGGCTTGCTTCTAGGGAGTCCTCTACGGCACATGACTGGTCACTAGGCAGCTCTGGGCAGCTCCAATTATCCCACTACAGACATGGAGTTACTCAAGGCCTCAGTGCTAGAAATGGCAGAGACAGAATTGAAGCCTGGCCTTCTTGCCCCAGTAATCCCCCCCTCCCACATACTCTAGAATGTTCTGTATTGCCTGTCACTTCTTTCATGGAGGGTCTTAATGGTTGAGTCACTATCCTTGGGTGTCCCCTTGGCCACAGCACGGAGCTGGGCCCAATGGACACTGCCCAACAACCCCAGTCATGTATATCTACCATGACTCAAACTCCAGGGAGGAAAAGATAACCCTTAAAGGGGCCCAAGAGCTTCTTTGCCAGCAAGTGCAGCTGAGGCCCTAGTTTTCCACCCAGAATTCCACCCAGAATCAACATTAAACTGCACACTGTGATCCTCATGACCCCAAGCTTTCCAGTGCCCAAATGACCGGGGCTCCAGAGGAAAAACATCTGGTGGCTCTCCCAACTCCCGGGGGGACGAGAGTGGACACACGGGGCAGTGGAGTGAAGACAGTCAAAGCCAAGGGTCTATTGGGGAGGCAGAGCTGGAGGGCATAGGGGTCAGCACCTCTTTAAGCCGGTTCCCCCAAGCTCAGCTTCAGAAACACCCTCCTTGTCGTGGGTCTTCTCACTCCGTGTCTGTCAACGGAAGAGACAAGAAGAGTCAGATCTGGTGACCAGTGTGTGAAAGGAAGGTGACAGCAGACAGTGTGGGAGCTGAGCCCAGGCCTCCACATGTGAGTTCTCTCTCTTCTGAGGAGTAAGATGCGCTCAGCCAGGGGGCCTTTTAGATGTGACCCAGGCTCAGGTACCTGGAGTGCAAAGAGGGACTGTTTGAGACCTAGAACTTACTTCATGACTGTTGCTATGGTTGATGATAATGACCCACACTGGGTCCTTAGGGCCTATGACTTACCAGAATTTCATTACTAGCTCTGTGAGGCCCCACAAATCCTCCAAGTGTCAGTTCCCCAGAATAGGCATTTGCCTCCTGTAGCCCCATTTCCTGAGTAGTATGCCGCCATGAGGAGGGAATGGCGATGTGAAGAGCTTGTACATAACCATTGTTACTCAGCTCTGTGTTCTATGGGTAATGACCCTGGACCTATGTGCAAACTCCTCCAGTGTGACCCTACTGACCCCATTCAGGACTACGCCAGGGCAATGAGACAGCTGGGGCTAAGAGATGGAAGGACTCACCTAAGATCACACAGCCATTTAGAAGGCCTGCTTTCTGTTGATGTACAACTGAAGCGGCCTGGGGTTTCCCCCAGGTATGGTCAGACAGCCCCAGCAGAGGACCCTTCCCAAGCCCCAATCCATGGGCAAGAGTCATGGGGTAGTGACCCTGGGGCTAATAAACCCAGGGTGTGAGGAAGGTATGGCTTTTGGGACAGGGTTAGCATCCTTCTGCTAACATTTCCCACAAGTAAGAAATCTTCTAGTATAGTAGGGAGCCAATAGAACATGGGTAGCAGGGATGCACCTCACCTCTTTCCAGCTGTTGTCCTGCTTTTCCAGGTCTGAGTGCTTCAGGACCCAGGGTTCGGCAGCCTTCTGCAGCTGAGAAAGGCAAAAGGTATGTGCTGGTGGGCAGGGCTACTCCGAGCAGGGCCACTCTTAACTCCATATGACCCACAGCATGGGCCCAGCATTAGCTTCTCACTGGGTAGCAGATCTGAGCCCCCACAGGTGGGTTTGGAACACAGTAATACAAGCAGCTTCCTGACATAGAGGCATCTTCCTGATACAGAGTTAACAGTTGTTACTGCTACGTTAACCTATAGTATTGTTCATAGAACAGCTAGGCAGAAAAGCAATAGCTATTTCACATAGCGGACCATGCTGCCATCAATGGTAGCCATCTGTAACAACAGTCCAGCACTACTTCCTGCTGAGTCCTGAGGAGACCTCTGGAGCACCATCATTTCCAGGGAGTCCATTTGCATGTGCATATCAGTTCGTCTTATCGTCATAGCAACCTCAGGAGTAGGTGTGACTATGATTATTTCCATGTAGCAGGTGAGAGCATAAAGATAATGAAAGGAAGAAACTGGCCCACATGTGGGCAGCTGCACCAGCAGCTGGGGTTACAAGAACTGCACCATCACCTTGCTTGAATTCCTCCAAAGCTTTACAACTGACTCTCTCATGGGGTGACTCCTCGTCTTAGTCCCCTAGGGTTTTCCCAGTGTTAGTAAGGCTTATGTCCCCCCAGACCTTGCAGTTCTGAAAAAGCAAGAAGGTTCTGCCTAGGACTGCATCAAGGGTAAAGTGGAAGTCCTTCGCAAAGCCAGGATGGGCTGGTCACCTGCTTTCACTTGAACCCATCTCTCAAACTTAGGAACCCAATTAAGAGAAATAAAATAGTGTGAGGGCAACCAAGGTCACCTCACCACTAATGAACAGAAATCACAGATGAAGATGGTAAACCAAGGCCCAGGCAGGGGGACTGAGGAGCAATGTGCCATTCCTATAGCTAGCTCTTTTATCCCTATGACTACCCTGAGAGATGAGAAGGTGGAACAGCCATCCTCCTTGTGTAGACAAAGCCCTGAGACCAGAGGTGACTTGACTAGGGCTGGGTCTTCTGAACAAGGGCCCCTTTGTGGTCTGAAGGAAAATGGCCCCCACAGGCTAATTGGGAGTGGTACTGTTAGGAGGTTTGGCCTTGTTTGAGCAGATGTGGCCTTATTGGAGAAAGTGTGTCACTGGGGGTGGGTTTTAAGGTTTCAAATGCTCAAGCCAGGCCAACTGTCACTCTCTCTTCCGGCTGCCTTTGGATCAGGATATAGAACTCTCGGCTGCTTCTCCAGAACCATGTCTGCCTGTGAGCTACCATGCTTCCCACCATGACGATAACTGACTGAACCTGTAAGCCGGTCCCAATTAAATGTTTCCCTTTATAAGAGTTGCAGTGGTTATGGTGTCACTTTACAGCAATAGAGCACTGACTAAGACCCTTCCTGCGGCTCTGCAGGCTGTTTGACAAGGCTGCTTTCACTGAATGTGGGGGCTGACACCTGGAATCCTAGCTCTGGAGAGGTTGAGGAAGGAGAGCTGGGAATTCCAGGCTCATCTGGGACAACTAAGTGAGATACAGAGAGACTCAGTCTCAAATAAAACAAAAAAGGGAGGAAAGGAGGAAAGAGGAAGAAATAAGAGAAAGAGGGTACAGCTTTGGGTGTCCTGGTTTGAACCGAGGGAAGCAGGAGACCAGATCTAGGAAGCCATCAAATTCCACACATGGTCCCTACTGGGAAACCAAGTGCAAGACCCAGCCAGAAGGTCCCAGCTGCATATTTGCTGATACCCCATTAACCATGGCATGGATTGGATTTAATGATTTCCACATCATTAAAAAATAATGTAACAAAAAGGAATCATTCCATAGATAGGAAGTGGCCAGATGGTGCAAAAGTGTGCTCTGATCAGTGGCCCACATCACAGGGGATGTGTTAGTTTGTGGGTGTACCAGCTTGAACTTGCCACACAGACACCAAGGAAATGTGACCCTCAGAGGTGCAATGTTTCTGTAGCCAGTGAGTGTGACCCTGGAGAAAACCTAGTCCCTTGCAAGAGGTCAGCTCAGGCCAGATGTTAGGGATGGAGAGATGGCTCAGCTGTTACAGCACTTGCTGCTTTCCTAGAGCACTCAGGATCAGTTCCTAGCACCCACATGGCAGTTCACAACCATCTGCAACTCCAGTTCCAAGAAATGCAACACCCTCTTCTGGACCAAGGGCATCAGGCATGTACACGGTGCATACACATAAATGCAAGCAAACCACTCATGCACATTTAAAAAAAGAAAATTACCAGATGTGAGGCTTTTGCCATGTTTCTGACCTGTCAGAAACAGGACATTTTGGGTCATTTTGCTTTCCAGGGTTGAGAGGGTTAGAAATTGCATTCTGAGAAGACGTACAAAGAAGGTAGCTCACTCAGGTGAGTCCAAAGAGTGGGGAGTCATGGAAACTGGCAAGGAAAAAGCAAAGCAGGTCTGCATGCTGCTCTGCCTATGGTGGCTGCTGGGGAGGGGGCACATGAATGGGAATGGATGACAACAGGAAAACCCCTCTGAGGCCAGCCAGCTTTTCACCTGATATACACTCGAGTGCCCTTGAATGCAGCATTGTGATACTGCACATGCTACTGTCTGCCTGTTTGGTTTGTTTGAGACGGTTCCTTGTAAACCAGGATGGCTCCAAACTCACTAGGTAGCCAGGATAATGACTATGAACCCTAATTCTCCTGCCTTTACCTCTGAGCAGAGGAAACAACCTGGTTCTCTGTCCTCTCTGAGCAGAGGAACAACCTGGTTCTCCCCTCTTTCTGAGGGCTTCTGCTGCCAGGGCACCCGGGGCCCAGCCTCACCTGGTTGAGGCGGTTCTGCAGCTCCTTCACCTGCTGCTCCACCTGTTGCTTCTCGCCCTGCAGCCGCTCCACCAGCTGCAGCTTCTCCTGGCTCCAGTGGCGCTCGCTGATCTGCAGCTGCCGTGTCAGCTCCATGACGGCGCTGTAGGACTCGGCCAAGAGGTGCTGCTGTTCCTCTCGCTCCCTCTGCAGTGCAGCCTTCCAGTCGGGCCCGGGCCTCTCGCTGGCACCCTTCCCAGCCTTCAGCTCCATCTGCAGGAAGAAGCATCAGCTGGGTATCGGCAGGGGACACTGGCCGCGCACCCATACCAGGGAGTCTCTGGGGACCCTCCAAAACGCTGATCCTCCTTCTAATAGAGCTGTGGACCCCTTTCTGCATACAAGCCAGACCCTGTACCTAATGTTTTCCTCCTAAGCCTCTATAAGCAAAGTGCTACATCCCATCCCTCAGAGAGGCTCCAAGGGGTTAGTTAGGTAAGCATTCCACATCTGACTACAATAGGCAGCGCTCCCAGCTACTGATAACCATGACATTTGTCACCTCTCTCTCTCTCTCTCTCTCTCTCTCTCTCTCTCTCTCTCTCTCCCCCTCTCTCTCTCTCCGGTTTTCCAGACGGTTTCTCTGTGTAGCCCTGGCTGTCCTGGAACTCACTTTGTAGACCAGGCTGACCTCAAACTCAGAGAAATCCACCTGCCTCCACCTCCCTAGTGCGGGATTAAAGGTATGTGCTACTACAACCTGGCCCTGCCTCTGTATTAATAGCCCTGCCTCTGTCTGCTTTAGTCATCTACATTGTTAACAGGTTAAGCTTTCAGAGCATTGCAATTTCTCCAGCAAAGAGCCCAGATCACCCAATCCTAGCTTTCTGTGTATCCTTGTGTCCATCTGTCATTTCTTTATTCTCTTGACAATTTAGTCAGCTCGATCCAGGAGCCAGGCTGGATGTGGAACACAGGAAGGCATGGAAGCATTCTGCCCACAGTGCAGCCTAGGTTCCTGTCAATCTCTCTGGGGCACAAGGTGAAGTGTAAGGGGTCTTGTGCCTCCAAGAGCAGCTTAGCACCCTCCTTGCAGATCTGGGCTGGGAACCAGGAAGGAGATGTCCCTGAGAAGCAAGGAGGCTTACCTGCGAGGCATGGCCCTTGAGCTCTGCCCGCTCCGTCTCCCACATGGCCTTGGCCTTTGCGAACTGCTGCTGAAGCTCAGTCAGACCCCGGCGCTCATCACGGAGCAGCCAACACAGCTCCTTCAGTGTGACCTTCATGTCTGCCAGGGTTTTGATGTACTCATTAGGCTGCAGACAGAGAAAAGCCTGGTCAAGAACTTTGTGAAGGCAGGGAGGGCAGCCAGGAGTCCAGCTGAGGCCCTACCAGCTTCAGAAAGGGCAGAGGCCAGCCCTGGGATAGCTGTGCCGAGTTGCAAGTCTCACATGCAATGAACTGTTTCAGAAGCAGCTCTTCTGCCCAGATGCAGAGAAACAACCTCCCCCAGGCTTTGCGGGGGCCCGAGCTCCAGGTCTCTTGCCTCTCTGAGCTGAGGCCTCCATGGAGCCTCTCAAATGGTGCCCCCCCTTTTCTGGTTCCTTACACACTGTTCAACCACACCCCAGCTCACTGTAGATCCCTGGGAGGCTGACCCCAAGGCTCTCTCTGTGTCTCGATGTGACAGTTCTTAATTCTAGTCCGTAAGGGCCTCTTTTTGTGTGACCCTGGCCTGGTAGCCTTACCCTGGCCCAATGTCCCACTGGTCACACCCACTCCAGCACATCTTGCCACACCTCTGTATACGCAGTCCTCTTGTTTCAATATGGTCTGCTTTCCTTTCTGAATTCGGCAGGCTCCTATTGGTCCAGGGGAGCACATTACATGTGACCCCTTCTCTGTAACCCTATTCCTTATACAACAGATTCACTGCTCTCCTTCCTGTGACTTCACAGTTCATCTGGACTTCTGTCACTGCCCTGGGATGACTCGTGTTCCCCCATCTCTAAGCAACTGGTGAGTCGGTTCCCAGCCAATAACCATCTGCAGACCCTGAGTGCAATCAGGGCTGTGTGAGAAGACAGCAGGAACTGGTCATTATGGATGAGGAGCACACGAGTAAAAAGGACTAGAATGGGCTGGACACACCGTGTTCTGGGTCCAGCTGTCCCCTGTGCAGGCCTTGTTATCCGAGTGTTGGGCATTCATTTCTTCTTCCTCCATCAGCAGGTACAGTTCCTTCATGCTGTTCACCTGGTTTGAGAAACCACATTTGACAGGCTCAGACTCCAGAGGATGCGGACACTGGGGAGCAGGCGGTCCAGACAACCATGCAGGAACCAAAGCTCATCACTGAGCTTTCCCACATCTTAAGTGTGTCCCATCCCCCCCCCCCAACCCAGCACCGTTACAGCAGAGAAGCCGAACTCAAGCCCCGTGCCCCCACTCAGGGCTAGGGCTAAGCTCAGCCATACCTCCAGGAAGTCATCCTCCTCGTGGGGCAGAACCTTGCCCTGCCGCCAGCGCTTCAGGAACCACCTGAGCTTCATGAAGAGCAGAAGGAAGTTGTGCTTGAATTGCTGGGATTCCTGCACCAATATGTTCTTTTCCTGGCTCCAGAATTTCTGCTCCAACCTCCTTTGGAGGCTCAGACTCTGCAGCTCGAACTCCCGCCTCAGCAGCGCCCTCTGCTGGTCTTCTTTTAGCTGTTCGGACAGGAGTGAGCAAAGGAGGCTGGGGTTGATTCCAGACCCAGATCAAAGGCAGAGGGGAACACTAATGGCAAGTGCCTACTGGTGACCCCTATCAGGGCTTCTACTGATAGCAGCCCACTGTACCCAGGGAAGCACTCAAAAGCAACAGTTGTGGGCTGGAGACAGAGCTGTCAGTAAAGTGCCTGCCACACAGGCATAAGGACCTTAGTTCATTCTCCAGAACCCACATACAAAGCACAACCAGCCAGCCTACTGTCGTCAGTGAACCCCAGGTGCCAGGGAGGGATCCTGTCTCAAAACAGCCTGCAAAATGACCTCTGGCCACCATGGCATCATACTCGGAGCATCTCCTGGGTATTGGGTGTTTTTCATGTGCTCAGATTAGTCTGGGAACTATGAAATTAATTGGGGACTGCAGAGAGGGCGAGGTGCAGAGCAGAGGTATGCTGGGGTCAAGGAAGGCTGAGAAACGTGAAATAACCCAGGAACAACACTGGGTCACAGCTAAGGGAGCCAAAGGCCTGGGATGTACAGCTCTGAGCAAAGCACATCTACTCTGTGAACTCCGTTTCCTCATCTGCAATCCTTCTACCTTTTCAGCATGCCCTACTGTGTGCCACCATGAAGTGAAGTGTGGCATCCCATAGAGAAGTGTGTGAGCATTACAGGATATAACGGTGGAAAGTGTGTTACATGGGCCATTCAGGAAAGTAGCTTTCTTTCTTCCTTCCTTTCTTTTTTACATTTATTTTTTTTTTTTTCTATGTATATGGGTGGGCCCAGGTGCCATGGCATGTGTGTGATGGTCAGAGAACTAGAGCAGGCTAGTTCTTTCTCACTGTGGGGATCCTGGAGATTGAACTCAAGTTGTCAGGCTTGGTGGCAGCCCCAAACAAAAGTAAGGTTTAATAAATGCTATTATGATCCGCAGTCAGGTTTGAAGAGGGGCACCTCTTCAAAAACTGAGGCCAAGGGATGAAACAGGGGCTGGAGAGATGACTCAGCAGTTAACAGCACTGGCTGCTCTTCCTGAGGACCTGGGTTCAATCCCCAGCAACACATCATGCAGATCACAGGAAAGAAGTCTGACACTTTTGGTCTCCACAGATACCTACACTGACAGGCACACATCCACACACATCTATGTGTAATTAAAAATAAAAATCCTTAAGACAGTTTTTAAAGAGATGAGACAGAGAGGTGTGGTGGCACATGCCTTTAATCCCAGCAATTTAGGAGACAGAGGCAAGCAGATTCTGTGAGTTCAAATGATCCCAGTCTACACAGCGAGTGAACAGTCAGGGCTACAAAGAGAGATACACTGTCTCAAACAAAACAGAGCAAAACCAAAAAAGACTAAAGAGGCCATTGTCACCTAGGCAGCCAATACCATGTGCAGGGGTCCAGCCCAGGTTAGAGCTGACAATCACAACTCAGTGAAGCCTGACAGGGCACAGGGTGTTTCCCCCAATGTTATTCCCTTTTGATGACCCTGCTGTTAGTAGTGTTTGATTTCTTCCTATGCTCGGGACAGAACCCAAAGTCTCCCACATGCTGGGCAAGTGCTCTGCCAAGGCTACACCACGGCATTGGCATCTGTATCTCCAGTCCTGGGAAGAGACGTATAGCAGGTGAAAAAAAAAAAAAAAAAAAAGTGGTACAAACCCACCTGGACCACTTTCTGGTTGAAGCTGTCGGCCTCCTCCTTCCGGAGCTGCCGCTCCTGGGACAGTTGCTCTTGCAAGCCCCGGAGGCTGTCATGGGCCTCTGCTAGAACCAGCTGAAGCTCCTTGATCTGCAGTGGGGTGGGGGCCAGACAAGGAATGGGGAGAGGACACAGGCTGTGGTCAAAGAATCAACAGTAAGCTGGACTCGGGCATCCTCTATTAGGCACAATACTGTCCTTGCCTCAGAGGGTCATTATGACAGTTAAATAAAATGGTATGTGTCAAATCCTCCACAGTATAATTTTTTTTTAAATTTCTCTCTAACAAATTTGCAGAAAAAAATGTACTATGAAAACTAATTTTGATACACAGAGTTGTTCATAGTTTCTTTGATTGATTGATTTACTTATTTTTTACTTAGCCTCACTATTTTTCACAGGCTGGTTTCTCTCTCTCTCTCTCTCTCTCTCTTTAAGACAGGGTTTCTCTGTGGCTTTTGGAGGCTGTCCTGGAACTAGCTCTTGTAGACCAGGCTGGTCTCCAACTCACAGAGATCCCCCTGCTTCTGCCTCCCAAGTGCTGGGATTAAAGGTGTGCACCACCACCACCGCCTGGTATCAGGCTGGTCTCTTAACACCTGAGCTCAAGGCACCCTCCTGCTTCAGCCTCCCAAGTAGCTGGGGCCATAGGTGCTTGCCACCATATGCTAATTCATTGTTTATAATTAAAAATTTAGAAGCTTCTTTGTCAAAAATCAGGTGTCCATAGGTCTGTGGATTTATGTCTGGGCCATGGATTTCATTGATTCACCCGTCTGTTTTTATGCCAATACTATGGCATTTTTATTGCTATGGTTCTGTAGTAGGGCTTGAAATCAGGGATGGTGATACCTCCAGAAGTTCTTTTATTGTACAGGATTGTTTTGGCTATCCTGGGTTTTTGTTTTTCCATATAAAGTTGAATATTTCAAGGTCTGTAAAGAATTGTGTTGGAACTCTGATGGGGATCGCACTGAATCTGTAGATTGCTTTTGGTAGGATGGCCATCTTACTATGTTACTCCTACTGATGCATGATCATGGGAGATCTTTCCATACATGACTGGAGAAAAAAAAAGTCAACATAATGATGCCTAACGATATTCTGCTATACTCACAGATTGGTGACTACCCCAATTGTCTTCAGTGGAAACAAATACAGAGCCCCACAGCCACACATTGGGTCAAGCTCAGGGAATCCCGCTGAACAGAGGGAGGAAGGATTGGATTGAGGGGAGGCTAAAGATATCACAAGGGAGCCACAGATACAACTAACCCGGGCTCACAGGAGCTCCCAGTGTCTGGACTGACAGCCAGGGAGCCTACATAGGACTGACCTAGGCCCTCTATATATAAGCAATAGTTGTGTAGCTTGGTCTACTTACGGGACTCTTAGTAGTGGAAGCAGGGGCTGTCCCTGCTTTGGCAGGCTTTGGGGAACCTATTCCTCATACTGGTTTGCCTTGCCCAGCCTTAATACAAGGGGGAGAAGCTTAGTCCTACCGAAGCTTAATATGCCATGCTTTGTTGATACCTATGGGAGCCCTGCGGCTTTCTGAACAGAAACAGAGGAGAAGTGGATTGGGGGCAGTGGAGGGAAGACGTGGGGAAGAAATGGAAGGAGAAGAGAGAGGGGAAACTTCTATCGGGATGTAAAATAAATGAATAAATATAATTAACATAAAAACTTTAGAAGCAATTTAAATAATAAATGAGGTTTAAAATGTGTTTAATGGGTCTCTATGTATAACAATCCATTCAGCTGTAGCCTTACAGATGCTGTCTTTGTGTGTTATTACATAACAGAAACACATTTACTATCAACATGGCTAACTGCATGATGATCTTAACTTTCTTTATATCTTCATGTAATGCTGCTTAGGGGTCTAATTGTACTTACTGTGGTTTACAATGACTATGGAATAAGTTAAAGGACAGTTAACCATGTTCTCTAATTTCTGGGGGAAATGGTGTTTTAACAGCATTAGAACGAAACAGGCAAAGTTAATGTGTTTAAGGCCCAGCAAGACGGCTCAGCAGATAAGGGCTCCTACAGCCAAGCGTCAGGACCTGAATTTGACTCCCGGGACCCACGTGGTGGGAGGAGAGAACCAACTCCTACAAGTTGTCTTCTGACTTACCAGACATGCTGCAGTACAATGCGCACATACCCACACTAAAACCCCGTAAAAAAAATAAATAAATAAATATAAAAAAATGTTTTAAAACCCATTCTTCTATAAGTCCAGATAGAGATTGGAAGGGAACACACAAGGAACTTCCTAGAGTCTGTTTATAGATCTAGATGCAAATTACAAAACAGGAAGATCATTCGCTTGAAGCCAGTGTGAGGTACACAGTAAGACCCTGTCGGAAGGCACCAGAGGGGAGCAAAGGGTTCTGTTTGCGAAAAGCTGTAAGCATCTATTGACCTTCCCTTCTCCCTCTTTCTCGTGCGTGTGTGTGTGTGTGTGTGTGTGTGTGTGTGTGTGTGTGTGTGTGTTTTTTTGTTATACTCCATTAACAAAAGTTTTAGCCAGACTGGGTGTTGGTAGCTGGTGGCGCTCGCCTTTAATCCCAGCACTGGGAGGCAGAGGCAGGCAGATCTCTGTGAGTTCGAGGCCAGTCTGGTCTACAGAGCGAGTTCCAGGACAGCCTCCAAAAAAATGTTTTAGCCAAATGAAATGAAGTGGTGCCTGAGGCAGGAGGATCACCCGAGCCTGCGAGGTTAAGACCGTCCTGAGCAACACAGTGAGACTCCATCTGGAAGAAAAGCATTAAGTATTTCTAACGGGAATGTTTATTCTAACAAACTGTGCAGGAATAGGAAAATGGAAATGGTCCCAGGCATGGCAGGTGTCCTGCTGCGGAAAAAAAATTATGTGGCCAATAATATGATAATTTGGCACAGTCTCTGCAATGATTTGAAGCCTGTCTTGTACACCTGTTCTGCATTAAAAATCTCTGCAGAGCTGGGCAAAGTGTTATGTGCCTCCAATCCCAGCACAAAAGTTGGAGGCAGAGGATGGTTAAGTTTGAGGTAAGTGTGGTCTACATACTGAGACCCTGACTCAACAAACAAAACCCTCGTTAGAAGGGGTCAGGCTGCTACCCTTGCACAGCCTCCTTGAACTCAGGGTTAGTGCCATGTTTCGGTCCTAACTGCTCAGCAAGAATGAATGAAACTGATTAAATGTGTAAACAAACTGACACAAACAAGCTTATTTACTCCTCAGAAAACGAGATCTCAGAATCTCGGGTTTTTTTCTTCCTCCTCTTCCCTCCCTGTCCTTCTCTGTCTGTCTATCCATCTCCCCACTGGGGATCAAAGCCAAGGTCATCTGCAGGCAAAGTACACAGCACTGCAGCTCAGTTACATGACCAGACACCATTTTTTTTTCCCTTTTCCCCCTTCCTCTGTGACTACTAGAACATCCAGACCACCTCAGTTTCCAGGAAGCATCTGGGGCTCACAGGACAGGGAACTTCTCAAAGATCAGAGAACCTTAGAAATTCTAATGATCATAAATGTGGGTGGGAAAGCTGGGGCCACAGGTTGTGAGTGTATCCAAGGTCAGACCATCAGACCATCAGAGTGACATCTAACTCTGGTCCCCTGAGGCCAAGTGACATGGACACTGTCGTCATCCTCACCCATAGAGGCCAAGCCTTGAGCTAGGTATCTACCCCTGTCAAGGATCCTGTGAGGAACTCTGTTCCTGGAGGTCACAAACCTGACAATTAAGGAAGACCTCACAGCCAGCACACAGGAGAGTCACAACATGAACTCAAACAGCCTGAATGGAGAGACCTCTGCCTCTCTGCTAGATAGTTATTTTACAATGGCCTCCAGTTCAGCATTCCTTCTGCCTCAGCGTCCTGACACTGGGATTACAGGTACACACCATGTCCAGCTAAGCTTCCTCTAACTAAACCATGGGATTGAATCAAATTCTCTTATTTCCTATTTTTTTTTTCCCCTTCCCTGGCTGTCAGGAAGCTTAAAACCAAACAGAACGCCCAAAGCCCACACCACCATCCCCCAAGGATCACCCTGGTTTTAAGGGGCCCCAGTCAATCTCCTTCAACCCAGCCTCAGATTTAGGCCTCCACCCACCTCAGAGGCATAGGAATCATTATCTTCAGCTCGATAAGGCCTGAAGTTCCGACTGGGGTCAGGCTTGGAGTCCAAGTCACCAGCACGGAAAGCCTCTCGGATTCTAGGCTCCCATTCCAGCAGGTCTCTGAAGTCAGATGGCTAAAGCGAGGGGCACAAGCAGAAGAGAGCCATGGGGAGAGGCCAACGAGTACTACGAGGTCTAGTACAACGAGTACTACGAAAGGTCCCCACCAGGCCTCTGCTCCATAAGCGGCTTTGTCCACATGAGAGTGAGGCCCAGGTGAATCAACCTTGCAACCTGGCCCCGCCTTTCCTGGGTGCACAGCCACCACTCAATGACTGACTGCTTGTTGCAAGGATGATGAGTGGGCAAGAGAAGACACTAACTTTGTGAATGGCTTTTATGCAAAGCCTTCTGAAACAGTCCCATTGCTCTACCACCTATGTGAACCCAGCTCACTCTTCCTTCAGGATGGAACAAGAAGGAGACTCAATGTGAGGCTGTCCCCTTGTTTAAGAAGCCATCTCAAGCCTCAGCAGCAAAGTATGAGTTGAAGCTGCTACAGTACAGTGCCACGCATGGAAATCTGCTCTCAGGATGAAAACCAAACTGCCCCATGCTCTCTGCAGCCCAGCCTCACTGCTCTGCACAGTTCCTTGGACCTACCATGTTCCTTCTATATGATTTGAGCCTCTTGTTGATAGTAACTACCTTCCTTTAGGGTCCCTCCCTCTTCTGTCTGTCATATCACAGTCACAGGCTTGCCACGCTGATTAATTCTTCCTCAGTAGGCAATAAAGACCTTTGGAGTGGGAATTCTATTCCTATATGGTTCTACAGACTATCAACTGTCCAGTGCCAAGCGCCAAGGGTAGGAACTATCAACAAAGTATCCCAGCAAATAGACAGGGAATACAGTGCAGGAGGAAAACATACTATCCAGAAACACAAAGGGAAGGGACAAGCAACAACAAATGGACGAGGAATACAGTGTGCATGAGGAAGACACTCTGTCCATGAGCACAAAGGGTGGGGCCTAGCAACAAAGTATCCAGTAAATGTACATGGAATATAGTGCCCGAGGAAGACTTTATCCAGCAACAATAGCTATAACATGAAGAAAAGGAGTGAAAAACAAGCACAGGAGAGAGCATACAGAGGGTTAGAAGGGGTGTGTCCAGGACCAACTAGACACAAGCATCTGACATGTGGAACTGCAACCAGGAGACTGCAGTTCAATCCTATGTAATCTTTATTAATTTAATTTTTAAAATCTGTCTTGGGAGTTTTGTTTTGTTTCTATTCTGCACTGGGGATGGAGCCTGTGCTGCCTGCTAAGGCAAGTGCCTTACACTGAGCCACATCCCCACATGGCTGCTGCGTGTGATGGCTGTATTGAACACTACCAATCAAGACCTTCTACAGAGGTATTGGCAGGAAGTGGTAAGCAGGGACGCAAGGTGTTTATTTATTTTTGTCTCTGCTTCAAATGTTGATGTATTTGCTTTTGCAATTAACACTTTGCAAATTTTTGGACATCTTTGCTGTGATAGCTTTTCTAGGTACCATGCCAATGATATCAAGAATAAGCTTCTCAAAAACTCATCAAAAGGATTTTAAAAACTACAAACATTTGCTTTAAAATTAAAAATGTGGGCTGGCAAGATAGCTTAGTGGGTAAAGGTACCTGCTACCAAGCTTGGCAAGCTGAGTTAATCTCTAGGACCATTTGAGAACTGACTCCTGTGACTACTACATGTCCACAGTGGCTCCGCTTGGTCCCCCCCCCAAATAAGTGTAGTAAAAATTTTAGTTACAAAAGTGATCAGAAAAGAAGGGGCAGGGTGGTTGCCCTGGAGAAATGGCTCAATGGTTAAGAGCTCTTGATGCTCTCCAAGAGGACCCAAGTTCAGTTCCTAGCACCCCTATCAAGGAGCTCACAACCACCTGCAACTCTAGCTCTGGAGACTCCAGCACCTTCCTCTGGCTTCTGTGGACACCTATACACAGGTGACATACATATACACATATGCACACACACGCACACGTAAATTTTCAAAAATGTTTTTAAAAGAGGGGGCCAGGGATGTGGCTCAAGAGTAGAGTACTTGCCTAGCATGTATGAGGTCCTGGCTTCTGTCCCAGCACTGGAAGAGGGGAGGAGAGGGGAGAGAAAAGGGGAGGGGAAGGGAGGGGAGGCAGGAGAGGAAAAAGGGGCAATCTAGCAAAAAGACAGGACCTCAGAATCATCTCCATCCACAGTAAATGCACACTGGGCAATTCACTGAGTCAGTAGGCTTACATTATACTTAGTGAGTTGAAATAAATACATTTTTGCTACCTGTAACAGCAAATAGCAGGCCAAGTGAACAAAGCTAGGTACTACTGCGTTTGGTTTGTGTAATTACATTTATATAAAGCTCAAAGATGGATAAAACCAGGAGGTTGTCCTGGAGAGCTGGGGGAGTGACTGACAGGGAGACTGAGCAGGGCAGCCTTGGGGCTGGTCATCTTCTCATGATCACATGACTGTTGACTACAGGAGAGTTGTAAAGTTGTTTGTACACGTGGATTTCATCCTTCTCTGTTGCATGCCTGTTCTAGCACAAAATTTGTATGTAATAAAAGTAACAGAACCCTGGCCTGGGCATCTTACCTGGAAGTCAGAGCCAAGGTCTTTGGCCAGCATGATCTCCTTGGAGGGTCCCTGGGAGCCCAAGGTGGGCAGTGCAGGGAAGGGCTCAGACTGCTCCTTGCCAGAGTTCCCCAAGGCCACATCCACCTTGCGTGTGAAGGTGTTCAGTTCCTGCTGCAGCACGCTCAGCCGTACCAAGATGGCATGGATGAGTTTAGCATCCCTGGGGCCCTCGCTGTTATCAGGCGCCTCGTGCAACCGCAAGTCTGCACACTCATTGTCCAGGCAGAGCCGGAGGCCAACTGAGAAGCCATTGGCATCAGCCACCAGGACGTCGATGGCCTTGCTGACTAGGGCAGCCTGCTCCCGCAGCCCAGGCAGCGCCTCGGCTTCCCGGGCCCTGCAGAGCCTGGCGGTGTGGGGCTCCAGTGCCTCGCCCAGAGGGGCAGGTACGCACTGTGCAGAGTCTCCGGCCTCAGCATCCGTCTCCAGCATAGGGCGAGTGTTTTGGCAGGAGGCCAGGTCGCAGCGCTGCAGGTTGGAGAGAAGCACGCGGTTCTCATACTGCAGCTTCTTGACCTTGCCGCTGAGCTCGCCGATCTGCAGTTTGGCAGCCGCCAGCTCCTCCTGCGAGGGCTCACTGAGCACCGAGCAGCTGTCCTCCGACAGTGTCACGTCCAGCTCATGCTCCGAGCGGTATTTGGCCAGCTCGTTCAGCAGCAACTTGTTCTGGTCCTCCAGCTCTGCTGAGGAGCGCCGCAGCAGCTCAGCCTCCTCTTCCACAAACTGCAGGTGGCGCCGCAACTCGGCCAGGCTCTCCCCGCACTCACCACCCAGAGCAGAGAAAGCCAGCCGGGCCTCGGGGCCCCCGCTGCCCCCGTGGTCCTTCATGTCATCCATCTCAGCCCGGAGGCCCCGGTTTTCCACCTCCAGCTCCACGATGCGCCGGCTCAGCAAGTTGGCCTCCTCCTCCACCAGCTTGAGGTGCACCTTGAGCTCTGTCTCACGAGAGTGCGGAGCATCCGCCAGCTCCTCTGCGGACAGGGCTGCATCCAAGTCCCCATACAGGGAGCGGTACTTGAGCAGCTCCTCCTTCATGCTGTCGTTCTCCTTGGCCAGCTTGGTGAGCTTCTTGCACATGAGGGCCGACTCCTCTTTTGCGAAATGTAGCTGGCATTTTAGGTCTGCGCTGTCCTCCTGTGGCCCAATGGGCAGGAGACAGACAGCAATAAGGAAGGTTATTGTCAGCTTGGATCCAGCCACAGCATTCTGGGGTGCACTGACTACTATGGGAACACAGGGGTGAATCGAGGCCTGAAAGCCACAGGAAGCAGAGTGGGGACACTGATATTGAGAGGCCAGGGCACACTATCTACAATCTAGGAGTCTTTGAGTCGGTGACATTCTGACTGACTGCTAGAACTGTCCCATCTGTAAAAGGGGACAGAAACATTCCACTCTCACACGATGACTGTTGAGTGGGAAAATGTACAAGTGCCTGGCCTCCTGGTTGCAAACAGGGCTCTGTGCCTGACCTGGGCAAAACATGGTGCTTTTATCTAATTCTTACAACAAATCCACAGAATGGGAACAGATCAGGAAAAACGGACCAGATGGTTGAAGTGATTCGTCTCAGTCAGGTGGCAATCAAGCCATAGAGTCCAAGTTCAAGGTCTCTGACTCCGGACCTTGGGTTTAGTTGTCCCTATGCTGTGTAAGCAACTTGTGGGTTCAGGAATGTCTAAGTATGGGTCCAGAGTGGGCTTGGAGGAAGTAGTGGGTAGTGAAGTGTAGAAAACACACAGAGAAAGGAAATGCACAGGCGAGACATGGCGGGGGAGGGGGGCACGAGGAGGATGGGGATCTCTGGGGACTCCCCAGGACACTTAAAGTTGTTCTGGGTTTCCAAACTGTGAGGGGTGCTGAGTACCTGTGCAGTAGGCTTCTTATCTGTCTTCCCCAGAGACCGGGTTCCTCTTTTCTTCAAGGAATGCTAAAGGGAGAGAAGAAACCAGACTGAAAGATCACAAAGATGACCCACATCCAAAGGGGTGTCACAAAACAGTCACCCTGAGGGCCCCAAGCCAGCCTTATGTGTTAGCCAGCACCCAAGGCTGAGCCAGAGATCACTGAGTGAGTTGCACAATGGAGACAGACTGGAGGAAGTAACTAAATACCCCTGCCCAGGGCTCCTCCTCACGGCACCCACTTGGGCCATTGTCATCCTGTTGGCTGCAAATTGGAATTTGTGCTCTTGTTCATCTTTGTTGTTGCAGTTTAGGGATTTTTTTTCCAGATTATAATTACATCCTTTTCTCCCTTCCTTCCCTCCAACCCCTCTCATGTCCCCTCCCCATTCAAATTCATGGCCTCTTTCTTTAAGTGTTGCCACATGTGTGTGTTCCCAAATATATAAGTACAACCGCTCACTCCAGATGTCTCTTATATATGTGTTTTCATGGTTGACACTTGTTTGTCTTTCATTCACTCATCAGAGATTTCCCAAGTACACCTCAGAGGGCAGACAACATAACACTGAAATAGACAAACAAGATACCAAAAGAATGCTGTGGCCCCCTGCTTCAGGACCGAGATGTTCATTCCCCCAGGAAAGACCTCCAAGCTAAGGACTGTTCTTGGGGGTCCTCGCTGGCTAAGGGGAGCACTTGAGATGCTCCCCCTGGGTGGAACCCACAGCTAAAGCCTAGCCCAGGCCCCATGCCTCAACCCAAAGGGCCACTAGTTCCAGTTGATGCCATCTATGTGATTGGGTTTCTATTTCTGTCTCATTCCCTGTCACTGCCAAAGGGGCTCTTCCTCACACACTGCATGCAATCTCCACCTCACAGGAAGTGACATTTCATAGGACCTTGAACACAGAATGAAGACCAACGAACAAGATTTGGTGCAAACGAGACACAGCACAGGAGACTTGACAATGATTGTGAGGGTCTAACAACAAGCAAAGGTTCAAAAGCCCAGAAACACTGGAGGCAGGGGAATCAATACATTTGCTTACACAAGCAAATACTACAGGGGTAAAAAACAAACAAACAAACAAAAAACAAAGGAGAGCAAACAATCTTGGTCCCAGCATAGCTCAATGGTAGAAAAATACCCCAATGTGTTCCAAGCCCTGGGTTCCATCTCCAAACACACACACACACACACACACACACACACACACACACACACACTCGGTTAAAAAAATAAATGAACTGGTGAAAATATCTGCAATAGGAAAATGGGTTAGGAATACAAGAAATAGCAGGGGAAGTCAGGGAGGGGGCAGGCCTATAATTCCAGTTACTAAGGAGCTTGAGGCAGGAGAATCATAAATTCAAAGCCTATCTGTCCAATAAATTAAGATCTTGTCTCATTAAAAAAAAAGAAGAAGAAGAAAAAGAAAGACTGGGGGATACTGTTCAGTGGGAAAGAGCTTGCCTAGTGTGCATGGGGGCTCTAGGTTCCATCCCCAGTTCAGTGTGTGTGTGTGGGGGGGTAAGTTTACAGAAGAAAGGCAAATTGATCTTAACCCTGAAAAGATGCTTGGCCCCACTCAGGATGGAGACACCCAAAGGAAAGCTACCCTGAGGTGCCACTTCTCAATGATCAGATTGGCAAAAAGCCAAGCCATCTAACAATACATCCTATTGGTGAGGCTCGAGCTAAACAAGAAGGCTCATTTATTGCTGGCAGGAGTGCAAAACTGCACAAGCCCCACGGTGGGGAATTTGAGGAAATGCTACAATAATCAGTGCTGAAGTTTCTTGTTGTTTAAAGAAGTCATTCAATTAGACGCACAATTCCACTGAACACTTCCTCCCGAGAGAGGGATGATTCATGCCACCAGCTTTTGAAACCGCACTTGGGTTGCTCTCAACTTTCTGAGTTGAGCTGCCCACTCGGGTTTCTGAAAATGTGCCCCAGCTTTAGATATATGCTCACCCTAACCTTCACCTCTCACTCCCCATCACTGTAGGCAAGCCACTGACATAAAGCAAGACTTGTTTGTTTAAAATTTATTTATTTTTATTTTACGTGTATGGGTGTTTTGCCCGCATGTATGTTTGTACATCACATGTATGCAATGCCAGTGAAAGCCAGAAGAAGGCATTGTATCTCCTGGGTCTGGAGTTACAGATAGCTGTGAGCTACCATGTGGTGCTAGGAATTGAACCAGGGTCCTCTAGAAGAGCTACCAGGGCTCTTAACCATTGAGCCATCTCTCCAACCCATCAAGCCCTGTTTTACTGAAACTGAGAAAGGGGCAGTGTAGTTGGCAGTATTTTTCTGTTTCTCCCTGCCCCATTGGACTGGTTTCTTTCCTAACCATTGGTTCCAGCAGCCGTTTATTAACTAGTCATTCTGAGGCCAATGGCTCAGGCCTATTATTACTAACTAGCTCTCACAATTAAATTATCCCATTATTACTGATCTGTATATCACCATGTCACAGTGGCTTACCGGTAATGTTCAGCATCTTACCCCTTTTGCAGCTAAATGGCTTCTCCCTGACTCCATCTCCTTTCTCTCTGTAGCTCTGTTTGGATTTCCTTACTAGCTATATTCTGCCTTGCCATTGCCCAAACTGGTTTATTCATCAACCAATAAAAGCAACACATATTCACAGCATACAGAAGGACATCCCACATCATTGCAGTAACTTGACCAGAGTTCTGTAGTAAATACAGAGCCAACCTGAGGCCAATTTTTTTTTTAAAGATTTTATTTACTTATTATGTATACAACATTATGCTTCCATGTATATCTGCACACCAGAAGAGGGCACCAGATCTCATAATGGATGGTTGTGAGCCACCATGTGGTTGCTGGGAATTGAACTCAGGACCTCTGGAAGAGCAGTCAGTGCTCTTAACCTTTGAGCCATCTCTCCAACCCCCTGAGACCAATTCTTGACCTAGCACTTCATTGCATTCCAAAGGCTTGGTGGGAGAAAATGCATCTCTGATGATGGCCAGAGTGGGGCTAACATAGTGGTTTTCAACCTGCATGCAAGGAAGAATTACCTGGGGGATTTAGGAAAATATCAGTGAAGGTCTGGGGTAGGCCTCAGCCATCGAAGTTTAAAGTCTCTTCCCAGCAAAGCAGAGGGGCTTTATCATGTGTGTGTGTCCACATGGGTGCATGCAAGTGTGTGTGCACATGTGAGTGTCTGCATAACAAGTGTGTGTGTGTGTGTGTGTGTGTGTGTGTGTGTGTGTGTGTCTGTCTGTGTGTCTGTCTGTCTGCATGCATGCACGTGGAGACTTGAGGACAGCCTCAGGTGTTCAGAAGCTCTCTATCATTTCATCTTGTTTTTTTGAGACAGGGTTGCTCATTTGCCTGGAGCACACTAATTATGCTAGGCTGGCTGCTAGGAAGCTGCAGGGTTCCTTCATGAGTCTGGTGTTTTTACATCTTCTCAGCCCACTCTAGGTCTATCTTAAAATTCCTTTAGGTCATACAGAACTTTGGGAACACCAATGAGGTAGGACGATGGAGATGGAGATGGAGTCTGGATGCCACCAGCCTACCAAGAGAGCCCCAGATCTTTCAAGAGAGGACTTAAGCATGAGGGTCACAAAACAAGCCCTTTCGGAGCTGGTGTACCAGAACAGGGGGCTGAGAAGGGACAGCTCAGAGGCAGACTCCCATGGAGTGATGAGGTGGGGCTCTAGGTCAGACTCCCAGCTAGAAATGGGCCAGCCATCACAGGCTGAGTGATGCCTTGGTTGTGGCCTTTGCTGTGAGTAGTTCTGGAGAACCCACACCGAGAAAACCCTTCGCCTCCCAAGAAATTCACAAGCTAGGTGACCACAGCTTCACCAAGTTCCCCTGATCACTGTATGGAAGTGAAGAGACCCAATCTCTAAGGGCTCCCAGCTATCACATATGCACCATGAGATGATGTAAAAAGCCACCAGGAATGACCAAGGGGTCCTGATAAAGGGCTGACAAACAAGAGCCTAAACACTCCTCTGTGAAGTAAACTACAAATAAGGCCTCCAACTCTATATGGCCTCCAAAAGAGGAATGGAGGAACAAACCATGATGTATTCACACAATAAAAACTTAGTCATGAAAGGAATGGAGTCCTGACGCTCAGGCCTGCATGGGTGCCTTGAAGTCACTGTGTGAAGTGAGCCAGGCCATCCTGACGTGGCAGGCACTGTCGTGTAACAGTTTCCTCCAAGACTAAAACATTCCATCCTGCAGGAAGTAAGTGACTCAAAAATGGGATCAGGAAGTCCCTGAAACTGACCAGACTCACTAGGCCCCTCTCTGCCAGAGTCAGCAACGAAAGCTTAGAGTCCCGAGTTCAAAGAAGACTCAGGAGAAAAGCTGCCAGAAGACTCTGAGACCAGACCAGCTGCCTGGAAGAATCAGAAACCAGAGGAGCTGCCTGGAAGAGCTTTAGACCCTAGTCACATGGGAAGGCTACTCTCCAACCTGCTGAGCTGCCTGCAGGCTGTGCAGCACACTCTAGATTTCCCAGCCTTTGAGAGCTGTCACCCGTGCTGGGGTGGGACTTGGTGATGTAGCTGCCTTTGAGTCACTCCTGCTCCTGTAAGTAATCCCTCACCCATACTCCTGGAAGTAACCCCAATAAAACCTGTTGGTTCACAAAGCTGGACTTTTGTGGTATCTGTACTTTGGCTTATTGTGGGATCCCTATCTGGGACGACTAGACCTGTGTGTGTATCTCCCCAGGAAGACACAACAGGCATGTAGCATCAGGTTCCATTCCCACAAAATGTCCAGGCCAGGTAAATTCTCAAAGATGCAAAATAAATTGACGGCGTCCCAGAGCTGGGGGAGGAAGGAATGGGGAATGAATGCAGTGTGAGGTTAGGGTGTGAGTCCTGGAATTGGAGAGCAGGGATGGGTACACAATTGTACAGCCCACTAACTGTGCAATTTAAAAGGGCACACTTGGCCTAGGGCTGTAACTTAAATGTAGAGCATTGGCTGGTTCGGGTTCAGTTCCCC